TTATTGTCACTTTATTGCTAACTGGTAGGCAGACTAGTGGAACCTCCTGCTTCTGTTTCCCTCCAAAACATCAGCACTTTGTATACATGTGGTATCTTCTGATCTCAATACTGAGAAGTCTGAGTTTGTTTCAAAACTGAGACACCTTACAAGTAACACATTATAATGCATGGGAATTAGTTTACTAGTTTGACCTTATTCTTGATGTTTTTCCCCCCATCTTGTCTTCTACAAATGCAAGTAATGCATGAAGTAAAATTTCCTTGAGCTTGAACGGGATTTTAAAATTAAGTAAGAAATTGAACAGTAGAGTATATCTAGGCTGTCTGGTTCAATCGTCTTTGTTTTATTTTATTTTTCAGTCAGTTTGCTCCCAAGAAAACCTTTTTGTGGAAAACAGGTAAAAAATTGATTTTTTTTTTAAAACCCCATATATTGTAGCTGTTAGTTACAGATTCTTCATTTTGCATAGCCCTAGTTTATTTTATCAAATAAAACGGTTTCGAATTTGTGACCCAAACTATTTCAGGGCTTTTCTTCTTTAATAGAATTTGCACTTAGGTCATCTTCAGGTATATGTTGATATAAGGCTGTTGTCAGATGTTACTGGCCACTTTCCAAAGCTGTTGAATTTTAAGTTAAACAAGTGATTGTTAAATCAGCAAAACACCAATGTCACAGTCCATTATCAATGACCCACTGTGATGGGGTGCTAAAAGGGTTTAAATAATTAAACAATCTTTGTAAAAGGCATTGAAATTATTGGATGAACAGTCTTATAAAAATGTGAAATATTTCTGTTGTTGCTATTGGATCTGATTTTCAGAGGTAATGAACATCTTCATATACTTCACACATACTTGTTGGATGCTCTGTCTGCACTTCTGAAAACCAGGGCCATAATTGTTGCTATTATTATTTGAGACAGCTCTTATTTGACATTACTCCATAATGGCCTGCTGTGGGCAATCTTGTGATAGCAAACCTTTTGGCACTAAACAACAACAAAAAGCCTTGTATGTATGTATGTAATGGAGATATAACAAAGGGGAAGGGCTATATTCTTAGCTTCCATAAATATACTGAGCTCTGATTAAATCAGTAATGCTGTACCCATTTATTGCACTGGAGAATTTGGCCCTACAGGCTAGGAAATTCATTGTGACTGTTTGTCCTGGCAAAACATTTTTCTGTAGAGATCTCAAGTAATAGAACTGGCTGTCATTGAGGAGAGTTGGAGTGGGGCAGGAATAAATGCTTATCCTAAAGAAGCACAACATATATCCATCCTCAGTGTTATCAAATTCACTTAGGATATGGTCTTCATCCTCTGACCCCAACTTGTGTGTTCGTCAAATTGCACACATACATGCATGTGAACATGAGCAGTTCTGATATTTGGCTGGGTTTTTTTTTCAAGTATGTGCAGGTGTTAACTTTTAAAAGTTGAGGTGAATACTCAAGTGGAAGCCAGGCAGCTGAAAGTTTGGCTCTTGATATTTAATGAGGTTTCAAGAGGTAATGACTTCTAATGCCTTGCTCTAAACCCTGTATTTTTCTAACTCCGTTTCCAAAGTTCCTGATCAATGGGGACACTTGAACAAATGTTTAAATGAAAGCACATGAAGTCAATGGTACTACTCCTATACATAAAGTTAATCATGTGTTTAAATACTTTACTGAATCAAGGCCTTAAACAAGGGCTTCACACCATTTCTATTCATCCACTGATCAGAGCATTTCTTCATGCTGCAGTGACTTCAGTGGGATTTATGTTCTTAAAATAAACCATGTGTAGTATTTTGTTGAGTTGGGGTTTAAGATCTTATTAGGTATACTTGTGTTTTTTTTTCCTCTTAGCTATAAAAGAACAGTGGGGGGGTTGTTGGGTGTTTTTTTTTTTGTTTGTTTTTTTTTGTTGCTTCGGAGTATTGTAATTTTCTTATTAACAGGAAGTGATAAAAGATTTGGCAGGTGTTTTATGGCACAATTTGGCATCACAGAACAACCAAAATGGGACAAAATCATCCTGGGTGTAACTCCAACGAGCTCAAAATAGAAATGACTTCAGCTCCATTTCTGTATGTGTTGGTATAGAAAATTAGAAGCTGTTGATGAGGAGCAAAACGGGATTTAACATTAAAAGCCATGAAGTTGAATATATGGATAAAGCTCCCAGGTCTGTTACCATAATCTTTCTTTTCATTTTCAGCAGGCTACTGGAAGACAGTAGTATATGCAATGAGACCCATAAGAAAAGACAGCTATTTAGGTTTGTATGGTTTACTTTATTACAGATTTGTTTTCAACTTACTTTCATGTGTGAGTTTCTCTATTCTTATAGATGAAAAACAGTGTCTTAATTGGTGAGAGTCTCTGGGGGTATGTCTGGAGAGGAATGAGTCATCAGTGATGTATGTATGGAAAGGAATGATGAACACAGGGCTGGTAGCTGAATTCTAACCCTTTTTTATCCAAATAACCTGTGGCATTGGGAAAGTCCTGCTCTAACACATGCTGAATACAATAGGAGTCTTTTAAGTAACTTCCGTGGGTTTTTGGATCAGAACTGTAGGCCTATATTTTCTAAGCTGTTCATGAGTTTTAGGAGCAGCAATTTGACGGTGCCTGTGAAGTGACTGACAAATAGGGTTGCCAGGTGTCTGATTTTCACACGGAACATCTGGTAATTGTGTCTTCTGTCCAGTAAACAAAAAAAAAAACCATAAAATACCGGACATGCAAAATGTCTGTAGGTTTGCCAGATGGTCTCCCAAAAAATACCGAACACGCAGGCTAAAAATTTGTAGAGCAAATCTCAGCCACTCTCCCCGCCGCCCACCCCTGCTAGGCTTCTGACGTGCTCAGAGCGGTGATCATGGCCCCACCTCCCAACTGGAACTCCCAGGCTGGGAGGAGGGGCCACTTTAAAAACTTCCCCCAGCCTCTCCTGCCATATGGCCAGATACTTCTGGTTCCTCTCCTGCACGTGGGAGAGGCAAGCACCATGTTGCTTTTTGACTGGAGCCCTGCAGTCAAAAAGAGGCTGCAGCTCCTTCCCAAGCTCAGGCGGCTGCAGAGGCTGCCAGCAAAACTCCTTTTGCAGTGAACAGGTGTGTGGGATGAGAGGAGAGGGGAGGTTATCCATTCCTAGAGTGGAAGGGAAGCCCCTGAGCCCCTTCCCTGCATAGGGCACCTTTTTGAATGAAGGGAAAGACACAGCAGGGTCAGCTTCTCTCCCCCACCTCTCCCACTGCGCACACACCTTCCCTGAATAGGCTGGCTAGCCTCTGGCAGACTGGAGCCTTAACAGTTAAGGAGGCATGCAGGACTGGGAGGGGAGAAGGGGAGGAGGATATCTTTCAGGAGTGGGAAGGAAGAGAATCTCCCCCAGCCCCTTCCCTGTATGAGGTACATTTAGGGAGGAATGGTTGGCCACATCTTGGCAAGCCCCATAACTCCTTCTCTGCAATAGGCTGGCTGCAGTAAGGAGCAGTGTCTTGTAGCTCTAGCTAGCCCACCTGAGAGAGAGGCTGGGGGGAGAATCCCTTGCAAGAGGGGGAAGGAAGGGAAGTCCCCCCAACCCTTCCCTGCATGGGGTTAGTGTTGCCAGGTGCGTGGTTTTCACCTGGACAATCTGAGAATTGCGTTTTCTGTCCAGTAAGAAAAAGAAAATACCGGATATACAAAATGTATTTTTTTTTCCCTGCTGTGTCTGGTGGGTCCTTTTTTTTTTTTTTTTTTTTTTTTTTTTTTTTTTTTTTTTTTTTTCCCAATTTAAATTTCCTACTGACAAACTAACTCTCTCACTCACTTGGGTTTGGCCCCCAAACCCATCCCATTTCTTGTGATTATTTTATTGCCAGTTGAAAGAGATGAAACACCGAATAAAGAGTGGGCTAGGCTTCTTCCCCCCAAGCTGTGCTTATATTTAGGGCTTTCTTCTATAATTGTTCAGTTCCAGATGCAAATTCCCTCTTCCCAGAGAGCCACTCCTTTATATCTTTAATTAAGTTAACAGGCTTCATATGCCACAGTGAATCAACAGCAGTCAATCCAAATTTTCATAGTTTCCACTCCTGCCAGCATGGCAGGTCAATTGAAGACCCTACTAGCTTTCTTCAGTACTCAATTTGAGACATCTAGTAAGGGACTGATTTTTATGAGTAGTGACCACCCACAGCTCCAGTTTAAATCAGTCGGGATGCTTGTGCTGAGCAGCTCTGAAAACCAGACCCCTACTACTAGATGTCTGAAACTGAAAATGCAAAAATAGGAAAGGCTTTGGAAAGCATAGGACTTACCATGTAGCTATGCATGTATTATATAGGCTATTATTTCTTTAGAAAGCGTGTGTAGGAATGTATAGGTGTGTTTTGAGTGGTTTTAAATGAAAAACTTGACAAGCCCATGTAGGTCTTTGGGGTCTATGTACACATCCCCACACAGCAGGTCTGTAAGGTAGAATAAATCTGGGCTAAGAAAGGAATGCTGTTGTGACTAGTGGATCCATCAGAGAAAGATCCATAGTCTGTTGTCTCAGGCAATAGATAAATTATCTTCTTCCCTCAATGAAGGGCAACCTTGTTTATCTGAGTATTTTGGGATGGGCAGCTTCCAGAGTCTTCAGATAAAGAGAAGTTCATAGTAATTAATGTTGGTTTCTAAATCAATGCTGCATTTGTAGAACAGAAAGGAATTGTGGATAATCCAGCATTTTTCAGATGATGAGATTTTTAGATAATCAGGACACAGTTGTACTTAATTTCTGTCTCTCTCCCCTACAGAAAGACAAATACAAGAGGGCCGTTGTTAAAAAACAAAACAGGAAAATGTCTCAGCATCAATTTGCCCATATAGTTTTCTTTCTTGTTAAATTTTTAAAACTTTTTTCTTTGGAAACCTTTTCTGTTTCTTTTTAAGTGTTATCACATTTGTGGTCTTTCTACTGTGCTCTTGTTATTTGTTTGATCTCCCCAAAATTGATACTAAATACTGCTGATCAAATCTTTGTAAGACTCTAATGAAGGCCAAGCAATACATTAAGCTTGTCTGGATGTTTAATATCAGTTCGTTAACTCCATAATGACATACCTCTCCGGTTCTCTAAATGAAAAAGAGAACCTGTTTTTGCTGGAAGCAGATTCAACCCACACATCCTGGGCTTTTCATTTATGCAAAATGTTGTGACATGGCAAAATATCACATTTAAAAAAAAATCTAGTCAGACACTTGCAAAAATGTATATGTGGGCAGTTTTACTTTGGTTTTTACACAGCTGGGAAAAGCATTTTGTTTTTTCATTTGCAGGCAGTTTGTAAACTACTCATAATAATCCAAATTCTGCCCTCAGCCTTCTACTCTCAGTTTTCTGTATACTTGGAATTATTGTTTTTGTTTATGCTAGCAACTACCATGTGCAAGATGCTTTTTAGCCATTCAAGAATGGGCAGTTCCTACTCCAAGATGTTCACAGTCAAAGATTGGACAGGCAGATGGAGAGGGAAAAGGGAGCAACATATAGCAATTCACTGTAAGCAGCATGACAGAAGATGGTCTTTAAAGGCATGTCTACACAGCAGGGCTAAAGGAAAATTAAGCTACACAACTTCAGCTACGTCAATTGCATAGCTTAAGTCGAAATAGCTTAACTAGGCTTTTGGCGCTTTCTACTCAACAGGAAGTCGAAGGAAGAACACCCTTCCTCCAACTTCCCTTACTCCATGTGAAATGAGGGTTATAGGAGTCAGAGTAAGAAGTCGTCCAGCTCAACATTATTTTGAAATAAAGGCTTGTAGTATAGATGCACTCTGTTATTTCAGAATAACGTCAGTTATTCCAAAATAACACTGCTGTGTAGACATACCCTAAGAGGTGTTTAACTGTGGTTGGGGTGGTAGGCGGCTATGCTGGGACTGTTATGCAGTGGTCTCCAACCTTTTTAACCATAAGATCACATTTTCAATCTAAGTGCAATGTAAGATCTACCTCAAACCCAAATACTCTTGCCCTGCTTCCTTCTTGTCTCTGCTTTGAGGTCCTGCCCCTGCTCCACTCCTTCTCCAAGGCTTCACCCTACTCACTCCATCCCCCGTCTTCCCCCATCTTCAATCGCTTTCACAGGCTGGGGTAAGGAGTTGAAGCACAGGCTCTGGTCTTGGCCTAAAGGGTTCGGCATGTAGGAGGAGCTCCAGCCTCAACCAAGGGCAAGGGTTTGGGATCCAGGAGGAATTTAAAGGTGCAAGCTCTGGGAAGGAGTTTGGGTGCAGGGAGACTCACGTCTGAGGCAGGAGGTTGGGTGCAGGAGGTGGTTCAGGGCTGGGACAGGGTTCAGGGTGCAGCCTCTGGCCATGGTTTCCCATTATTCCCCATTATTGACCAATGGGAGCTGCAGGAGTGGTGGCTGCAGGCAAAGACAGCATATGGAGACCCTCAGCTGTGCTTCTGTCAGGGGCCGCAGGGAGATTCCAGCCACTTCCAGGAACAGCAGTTACCATCAGGATAATGACTCCAGCCATGACGGGTTAGGCATTTTAGAACTCATTACTCAAAGAATTAAATTTAAGCGTAAGAGAGACATGAAAATTTTGAAATGCACAGAGCAGTCAAAAACCAAAACTAAAGCACTTTGCAAGCTGTAAAAAAAGTAACAACCCTCCATGTATGTTGGGTTAGGAGGAGAGTGAAGGACAGTGCGTATGTGTGAGAATAACAGACACATACACTGTGTGAGTGAGTGAGTGAGTGAGTGAGTGAGTGAGAGAGAGATTGATTAGCATTGCCAAGCTCCCTCCTTCCCCTTCTCTCTATGTGGAGTTGGGGTACAGGAGTGGGAGCAGGAACACCTTGATATCAGCACCCCCGCTTCTCCCTTCCACACCCTGCACAGCAAGCAGGAGGCTCTTGGGGGGCAGCTTCAAGGCAGAGGGCAGGACATTGGGTGGAGGGGCAACTGAAGTGCCAGTGCTTGATTGCTTCCTGGCCAAACCAGTCAGGATCACCTGTCAGAGGGAGACCCTGATACCTTCAGTCTTGATTTAAAATGTTCCTACGATGGACAATCCATCACAGCCCTTGGTAAATCATTGCAAAATGATTAACTATCCTCACTGTTAAAAATGTATGCCTTATTTCCAGTCTAAATATGTCAAGCTTCAACTTCCAGCCACTGGATCTTGTTATAATTTATCTTAGCCCTCTATTATCAAACTTCTTCACCTCATGTAGGTATTTATAGAAAGTCACTCCTTAATCTTTTCTGTGTTAAGCTGAACAGATTCAGCTCCATGAATCTGTTGCTATATGGCATGCCTTTCAATCTTTTAATTGTTCTTGTGACTCTTCTTTGAATTCTCTTCATTTTATCAATATCCTCCTTGAATTGTGGCTACCATAACTGCACAGGGTATTCCAGTACTGCTTGCACCAGTACATATCGAATACAAAAGTAATATACCTTCCCTACTTTTACTCAATATTGCCCAATTTAAAAGTCCAAAAATGACATTGTCCATTTTGACCATAACCCTTTCCAGAGTCACTTCTTCTCAGAGTAGAATCTCCCATCCTGTAAATATTACCAGTTGAGCCCAGTTTACCAATCCAGATCATTCTGTATCTCCTCCCTCACCAATATTCTGTTATCTGCAAACTTTGTCAATACCAATTTTAGCCAGTTATTAATCTACTTGGCTATGCATCGTGTTAATATTATATCTTTCTAGTTTCTTAATCAGTGTCATGTGATACCAAATCAAAGCCTTACAGATATCTAAATCTATGACATCAAACACTTTATCTTTTATGAACTAAACTTGTAATCTCATCAAAAAAGATATTGTTAGTCTGATAAGATTTTTTCCAAAACACAAGTTGATTAGCTTTAATTATATGACCCTCCTTTAATTCTTTTTTAATCATGTGCCATATTAGTTAGTTCACCATTTTTCTAGAGATCACTGTCAGGCCGACAGGCCTATAATTACTTATGTCATCCCATTTATTCTTTTTAAATATTGGCACAACATTAGCTTTGTTGTAGTCTTCTGAAATTTGTACAATCTTCCAAGACTTATTGAACATCAACATTAATGCTTCAGAGAACATTTTAGCCAGGTCTTTCAAAATCCTTCAATACAAGTTATCAAGATGCACGTTTAAAATGTTTAGCATTTGTAGCTGCTGTGTAACATCTTCCTTATTTACTACTGGAAAGGAAAGTATAGTGTCCTCATTGCATGATAGAACCATATCCTCTTGCTTTTTTCCAAATACAGAACAGGAATATTTATTGTAAAAATCTACCTTTCTTTCATTATTATTGACATTTTATCATTCCATCCAATAATGGATAAAAATCTTGTTGGGATTCCTTTTGCTTCTAATGTACTTAAAAGAACCTACCTTTTAATGTCCTTAATTCTGCTGGCCATAGATTTCTATTTATGTCCTTTCACTTCCTTTGTCAGTTTTCTAATATTCCTATCTTCTGGTTTATATTCATTGCTATCAGCTTCTCTGTATATTGAGTGTTTATATGTTATAGCTGCTATCACAGTCCTATCGCAGTGAATTCATATATATAATGGGGTTGGAGTGCATTTTCTTTGTACTTATAAATGTAATCAAGTCAGGATTATTTGTACCTAAATTATCACTAATTTTGTGATCAATTACTCTTTATCTGTCAAGATGATGATGATGATTCCCCCATTTGGATGCAATTCTTTGAGTGAAGAAATGATTATCTGTAAAATTTAGAAATTCCAAGAATATTTTAGTACTGGTAGTCTAAGATCTCCACCATACCTCACTCAAATTAAAGTCCCCCCATGTACATGCAGCATTTTTGCATTATTATTGACATTCTATCTTTCCATACAGTAATGGATACAAATTATTGTTGGGATTCCTGCTCGCTAGTCTGATTTGATGGTGTGTAGCAGACACCAACTAATGAATATTATCTGTTAGAATAAACTTAAAAAACAACAAATGGTCTGGTAGCACTTTATAGACTAACAAAACATGCTACCAGATCACTTGTTTTTCAAGTTTATCCTGTACAGACTTAACTCGACTACCCCCTGAAGCATCTGTTAGAATGTTGATCTCTAAGCATTCCAGATTGATTGTTTCTGAGTTGTCAGTAACTTGGAAGTAAATAATGCCATTTTGACGTAGTGCCATTCCCGTACCCCTTTTGCTCATATGATCCTTCTTAAATAGATTATAACCAGTGCTTTTAACATTCCAATCATGCAGATCTTCCCACCAGATTTCAGTTACACATCTAAGTCATGCTTATTGAGTTTTGTTTTCTGCTGCTGATAGCCATCAAAACTGTACACTCCTTTGTCCCCATAAAAAGTGGGCCAATGTTCCACAAGAGCAGAACTCTCTACCGTATACCATTTAAGCCAGCAGTTCAGTTGCAGGATCTTTTGTCTCCTGTCTTCTTTCTTCGTGAGATTCAAAGAGTCTCTAGAAAAATCATTTGAACATTCTTCTCCATTAGCATCCCTGAAGTCTTCTGAAATATCATGAAGCAGTGTGGTTACTGCTGATACAGGCAGTCCCCGGGTTACGTACAAGATAGGGACTGTAGGTTTGTTCTTAAGTTGAATTTGTATGTAAGTCGGAACTGGTACATATTGTAGGGGAAACTCTAGCCAAACATTTCTCCAGAACTCAGTTTTATTCTCCTACACCTCACTTCCCTCAGTCCTTTATTCTCAAGCTGAGGTGTCTGCTGAGAAAAGCCGCTCCACGTCTCCCTGGTCTGCTGGGGGGGGCGCTAGCTTTGCGTCTCCCTGGTCTGCTGGGGGGAAGCAGCTAGTGCGGGGTTGCCTCACCCCGTTTGTAAGTAGGGATCTGATGTAAGTCGGATCCATGTA